CAACCCCAACCATTCCTATTTCTAAACAACACACCTCCTCTGCACTTGCTCCTTCTCTTCTTCTGTCCATCGAATCGACAAGAAGAAATTTACAAGCAAGAATGGCCGCCAAGGTGCATCCTAACGTCGCCGCCGCGCCACAGCCACCCTGCATTAGCAGCATCGTCTCCCAACAACAAGAAGAAGAGGAGCCCCCGGTGGTGCTCACGGTGTGGCGCAAGTCTCTCCTCTTCAACTGCCACGGCTTCACCGTCTTCGACGCCAAGGGCAACCTCGCCTTCCGCCTCGACTGCTACGACTCCACCAGCTCAAGGCGCGCCGACCTCGTCCTCATGGACGCCGCCGGCAAGCCGCTCCTCACCATCCGCCGCAAGAGGATGAGCCTCTCCGACAGCTGGATCATCTACGACGGCGACGGCGCCGCCACCTCCACCGCCACGCCGCTCCTCTCCGTGCGCCGCCGCCGCGTCGGCCTCCGCGCCTCCAAGTCCAAGGCCATCGCGCACGTCACGCCGCTCTCCTCCTCCCTGCCGCTCCCGGAGGCCTACGTGGTGGAGGGCTCGTACGGGCGCCGGAGCTGCGCGGTGCGCGACGCGCGCGGGGACGCCGTGGCGGAGGTGAGGCGGAAGGAGTCGGTCGGGGACGACGTGTTCCGCCTCGTGGCGCAGCCCCGCCTGGGCGCGCCGCTCGCCATGGCCATCGTCATCGCCATCGACGAGATGTTCCGCGGCGGCAGCTCGCTGCTACGGAGGACTTGCTCCGCCTAGACCACATCTCTTCCTTTCCTTGCTTGCTGGGATAAGAAGCTCGGGGTCCCACCTGTCAGCGACTCAGCAGCAGAGTCTACCTAGATGCAAAGCACTAAACACCCAGGCAAACAACAGAGGAATTTACATCTATATCTTGTTTAGTTGTAGCTAGCTACTGGTTGGTTAAGAATCATCCATGTTAATAGGAAAATTAAGCAGGATTAATACAGGCTTGTGAAAGTAAAGCACAAGTAGGACAGTACATATATACAGCTACAGGGGAGTTCATTTTTTTCTTCCCCGGATGTAATATTACAAAGATTATTGTTTATTATTAGATGGAGAAATGGAACTGCTTCTCCTTTTCCTTCCTACTACCTCCGTTTTTTTAATAGATGACGCCGTTGACTTTTTCTCACATGTTTGACCGTTCGTTTTATTAAAAAAAATTATGTAATTATAATTTATTTTATTATGAGTTGTTTTATAATTTATAGTATTTTAAGTGTGATTTATATCTTATACATTTGCATAAAATTTTTGAATAAGATGAATGGTCAAATATGTGAGAAAAAATTAACGGCGTCATCTATTAAGAAACGGAGAGAGTATTTTTTTATAGACGGCTAGCCCATACAGCAGCATGTTCAGTTTGTGAGTACTTGACCGTCTATCCGAGCGACTTGAGACCATTTCTGTGTTAGGCCGAGTTTAGTTACAAAAGTTTTCTTTAAACTTTTAACTTCTTTATCACATCAAAATTTTTCTACACACATAAAATTTTAACTTTTTCGTCACATCGTTTCAATTTCAACCAAACTTTTAATTTTAGCATGAACTAAACACACCTGATGTGAGTAGCAAACAGATCCTATCTCCAGCAATATTTTATTTTGTTTAGAAGTGGGAATCCTTTATTATTAGGCTATTCTTCTGCTAGTATCATATTGCTATACCACGCTTTGATATGACACAGATCGATGATGGATGGAGCAGAGCTTAGCTTGGAAGTGCGTAACACTTGACAGAGATGAGTAACACACATTATAAACAACAGAACATTATTCAGCTGAACATACAAGATGTTAGCAGCTAACATGCACTTGACTTGCTACTGTTAGTCCCAGACTTGTGCCAGCTGATATTTCTTGAAATTAATCCCAGTTCGTTTGTTTCAGGTCTCATTCACTGTGCTGTACTGTAGAGCCACTCGATCTGCCTTGTTCATCTCGCGGTGGAGCTAGTACTACCAACCGATCTAGAGTATCTATCACGTTTTAATCACCATTCATTCTTGTTTGAGACGATGAAAGAGAGAAAAGGCAGTAGATGCCTCAAGGACGACTGATCGAGGACATCCTTGTCGATGCTCTGTCCCAACTAGAGTAGCTTATAGCTCGATGAACAGAGACACATGCATCTTTCTTCCGGCCGTGTGGTGTGATCCTTAATTTGTTTGCGCTAGAAATTCATCACTTCCGCGTAATACAGTAGTACTACAGTATGAGAGCTAGATGGAAAATTAGACGAAATAATTTTGTCTATAGACTGTGCATGCAGCTGAGAAAATCAAACTCAACATCGTCATCATCTCATCGTACAGAGAGAAAAACAAACGCATGCAGTGTCCCCGCCCCCTTGCAAAACACAAAACACATGGACATGATGCAGACTACCGAGCTATCCCTGAATATATCAGTCTTCATGTGTAACTTTTGCTGACTGCAGACCGAGGGTGCTTAATTTCTTCAAAGTATTAAATGGTAATTTCATGTGTAACTTTTTCTGGATATGTGCACTTATTTTATTCAAGGGAAAGGGAAGGAACTCAGCCATTCAATATAATTACAGGAGGTGAAAAGAGCTTAGAGCACTAGAGGAAAACAAATTATTACAAGCTGAACAGCCAAGAAGCTGATCGAGCAGCTAGCCCAACTAATTTGACGAGTGGTCCAAAGTGATTACTCTGGGGCTGGGGCTAGTCGTGCTTCTCCTCTCGTTTGGAACAACTCCTTTGCCAAATTTGCTACTACATCTTCAACCGTACCGTAGACACTGTTGAAGATCCTGCCATTTATTTGCAACCAAATGCTCCAGATCGTTTCTTGTGCACTTTTTCAGACGATAAACAGATAACTCTGCACTTTTTCAGCGCTTTCTACATGACGATGAACAGAGGATCGTGCACTTTTTCAGCGTTCGACTACTTGGTTTAGTACTCGATCCATTCGTTTGATACATATACGTATGTTGACTTGATTGGCGATACTGATATGGACTACTAATTCACGGGTCAGACTTCAGAGGGAGTGCCATTCCAAGTTTCCAACAAGCCAACAATTACCTACATAAACAGAGGCAAGAAATGACGGTTTTGAGAGATGGTAGCACGGCTTTTTCGTACCGAAAAATTTAGGCAAATTCATCGAAGTACTTGCTGTATAGAAACATAATGGATGCATGCATGGCTGCTAGACTTAATTTCTCTGCTCACTCATCCAATATTGATCAGTGTCATTTTCAGTCCTGCATGCGCCACTGTACGTGCATCTGACCTTTGGTGAACTTTTGCGCTTTTAGCCGCCGAAATTGCCCAACTCTCCAGAGAAAACGTTCGCTTGCAGTACGTTTTAAGGAGGGGCCAAAGTCATCTTATTGTTATCCTCGATCTGCTCATTTCATGTGCGTGATTAGGGCAGTCCCAACCCATAACACTAGACATGGTTTCCATAAACTCCACATCATCAAGAAACTAGTACTAGACACAACTCTTCCAATGCAAACACCACTATTTCATATTTCAATTTAATGCTACTTATCTCACATGATGTCTTGGATGTTGTGTAGAAATCATGTCTCATGTAAGACATGGTTTCCTTCTCTTTCCTCATTTATTCACTTGCTACATCATTTTTTTTTGTCCTAGGTGACAACTTATTTAATGCTATGAACACCATTCTAGTCATTGGGTTGGGAATGCCCTTACAACAAAAGCACACGAACAAAGCAATCAAGGAAGCTGCCATACCATACAAATACGTACTAGTACCATAGTACGTGCCCTTCTGTAAGTCAACTCTTAGTTTCGAGTCTTCAAAAAAATTAAAGTGACTTATAATATGAAACGGAGGAATTAGTAGTTATCATATTCATGGTTACATCTTCACTGATAATATATTTACATGCTACATACGAAGTACTCCTGAGTAAACATCGTCATGCTACGTGATGTCAGTAATCTGGTGGTGACGTTCTCAAACCAGACAGTAAACTCAATACTATGGGTATAGGGTATGCTATTACAAGATCAGTCACTGCATATTCGATCTCCTAATCAAGATGCATTAACAAGATAGAAAATATGGAGACGTTCGAAGACCATTTGCTCCCTTCAAAAAAAAAAAACCATTTGCGCAAAACCTAGCTAGATTGGTCCTTCTTGCATGATGATATGTTGAGAAATAATCATCGTAACCATCCTTTTCCCTTGTGTTTTTTGCTGACTGGTTGTGCTCTTTAATTATCACTTTGTGCGCACTTTTCTTTGATGCCTTCCACAATTAACATGCGCGCGCGATGGGTGGTTTTGTTTATATAGTACACTATTGTACCTGTATGATGGCGATACTAGTTGAGAAACAGACTTGCTTGCTCTTCATCTAGAATTGTTCTGTTTCTGCATGGAAAGCAAAGATGTTGTGGAAATGGGGTCATATGCTTGGCTAAGAGGAATTGAAGAGATAGCAATTGGGATGGTTGGTTTGGCGTCTAAATAAACCACAGCGAAATGGCCCAAAAGTCCTGGAATTGTGAGTCATGCGTGAGGCGTGATTCCTCCAGTACAGAGGAGAGAGCTGATCAAGGAAGATTACTCGAGACAAGCCAGTCAGCCAGGATACCTAATATTCCCTCTTGGGGCTCGTACAACGTATGGAGAGGAGAAAAACGTGTCTTGTGATCTTGATTGTGTAGAGGAAGAAATTACTATTCCGAGTGCAATTTGCCTCCGCCGCCGCCGCCGCCGCCGCGGCGCCGTGTCGAGGGATCCCGATTTATGGATGTAAATCGCTGTTTCTGATCGTGATTAATGGTACGGTGGCTCAAACCATTTCAGGCCCTACTAAACAGTGGGCTCAACATGGGCCGAAATCTCGGCCTCTGAAAGCCCATATACAATTGCCTTACCTGTCCCCACCTGTCACATGCCTCACGCAGCAGAGCTCAACACAACTCAAGGCGGCATTTCGAAATTCGAAAACACCAACCGTTTCAAATCCTCCTCCTCACCACTCCCAACGTCTACTCTTCCCCCAAATCCCTCCTCCCCATCGCGGCGCTGCCGCCGCTCCTCCTCCGGCAGCCAGCCATGGCCACGGTCACGCCGGGGGTGCTGCTCAAGCTGCTGCAGGCGATGCACACCGACGACCGCGTCGCCGGCGACCACCGCTCCCCCGTCCTCCAGGTCACGGCCGTAGTCCCCGCCCTCACCGCCTCCACCGCCGACTCCCTCTGGCCCTCCAACGGCTTCCTCCTCCAGCTCTCCGACGGCCTCCACTCCACCTACGTCCAGCCATCCTCCGCCGACGCCGACGCCCTCGTCTCCGCGCGCCCGCAACTCGTCGGCCACCTCGTCCACCTCGACCGCCTCCGCTTCGCCCGCCCGGTGCCCCGCGCCGTCGGGATCCGCCCCGTCCCGTCCTCCCGCAGCGTCTCCTTCGTAGGAAACCCGGAGCCGCTCGTCGCCCGCCCCGCCGCGTGCTCCCGCGGCTACGTCATCCAGCCCGGGTCCCACTCCGACTCCGCGCCGCCGCTCATGCCATCCAGTTCCGGCAATGCGGTGCAGTCCGATGCAACGGATGCCGTCAAGAGGATTGTTCTCGCGCCCAAGAGCGTCTCCGAGGCCGCGCCGCCGCCCGCCGTTTCAGCCGCCAAGAGGCGGTTCTCGTCTCCGGCGCCGTCCAAGCAGCGAGATCCGTCGCCTTCGGTCAAGGGCGGCGCGTCACGGCCTTCGTCGCCCTCGGTGAAGGGCGCTTCCCGAGCGTCCTCACCTGCGGTCAGGGGCACGCCCAGGGCGACGTCACCAGCGCCTTCCAAATGCGTGGTGCCCAGCCTTGTTTCGGCCAAGGAGGAGAATCGCCGCACGGCGAGGGAGCCAGCGATTATCGTGCCATCGAGGTACAGGCAGCCGTCACCGGTAGGAGGGAGGAGAGGGGCGGCGTCGCCCGCACCCGGTGGGAGGCGCGCGTCACTGTCTCCTAGCTCCCGGAGGCTGTCCGGGGAAGGTAGCAGCAAGAAGAAGGTCGGGGTGTTGGTGGCTGGTATCTCCAAGATGACGGATTTGACGAATGGGTCGGCTGTTAAGCCGGGGAGGAAGAGCTGGGACAATACCTCAATCGCAGCAGCGGCTGGCTCTGTGATGAAATCGAAGGTCAAGGTGGATAAGAGTACTATTCTGAGGACACAGGTCAGTATCATTTTTACATTTGTGTTGCAATTGCAATCTTGGAAATGTGCTTGCTATGCTACTATTGCTATATACTTGTACATGCACTGCACATTCATCTTGTTGTAGTGAACAGACAAATAGTACAACTCTACTTTGAACAGGCTAATCGTAGTGAAAACAGTGGTTACTTCAAATGCTTGATTCAGTACATATATGAGAAATGGCATGATTTTCTTGCAGTTACTTAAAATATTTATAAGTTTATTGAGGAAAGAGAGAATTTAAAATACTGGTATTTATTTTCTTTCCATATGCAATGGCAGCTAGTTGTTATCTTTGAATTGGAGTCATGTAGGTGCCCTTCGCGACCATCATCACCTTTTTGTGTAACTGCAGGAAGCAATGGCAAGACGACTGAGTGATGTTACAACAGAACTATCCAGTAACGATGATGATTCATCTGTAGATGAGAAGCCAAAGCCACGGAAGAAGATAGAGTCACCTGCAGTAAAGACGAAAGCAATGGCTCCAAAAATTATGCTTCATGATCCTAAATGGACCGATGGAAGCATTCCATTGGATGGAGTTTCTGATGTGCTTTCAAAGATGGGAAAGGTAAGCACTCCCAATTCATCTTTGTTAGCAATGATCAAGTCGCAGTTCATTGATCCTTGAAACACCACCTCTTCTCTGAATTTGCAGGAAGCCACTGAACGAAGAGACGCAGCAGCAATTGCTGCAGCTGATGCTCTCCAGGAGGCATTAATCACTGAATCCGTAATCAGGAACCTAAGGTAATTAAAAGCCGACTTGTGTCCCCGGAATTTCATTCAGCACAAAAGTGGTTTTTCCTAACACTCAGCTTGCTATTGTCCACAGTAAATTTTCTGAACTTACTTCAGCATCGAAGACCTCCAATCCCCTTCCAACAGTTGATATCTTCCTTGCTGTCTATGAGGATACTCTCAAATGGAAGAAAATTGCTGAGTCTATATCCACCAATAGAACTGAAACTGCATCATGGGAGAATTCAGCTACTCATTGGGTTGAAGCAGCATTGGCAACTGATCTTGAAGTCCTAAAGTTGATGAATAAGGCACCTGAATCGCTCTCTCGGAAAAGGGGTGCTGATAAGCCAAAGGCTCCCTCGGTGGTAGAAGCTCCAAGAACAACCATATCCAAGAGGCAATCACATGGGACTTCTGCAAAGGTCCAGTCAAAGGTCTTACCGACCTCTACAGCGAGCTGCGCATGGAACAAAACTCAGGGCGTGAATGAGACGGCTGAGCTTGCCACGACCTTGTGCCGTGAGATGCATACGTGGTTCCTGAAATTTGTGGACGAGGCAATGGATTTGGGTTTCCACCTTTTTGAAGATCAGAATGTTGCAAGTAGGGGAAAGCAGAGCAGCCACATAACAATGGTACTGTCCCAGTTCAAGAAGATCAGTGACTGGTTGGATGGAGTAGGCAAGATTGCAGAAGAGGCTACAACTAAGGATAAGGTTGAGCAGTTGAAGTGCAAGATTTACGGGTTCGTCATCAATCACATGGGATCTGCATTTGATAGCTCGGTCTCGATTTCATCAAGGAATTGAGGAATGCTTAAAGTAAGCCTTTAAGTTTCTTCTCTTTTATTTTTGTTCATTGGGGATGGGATCAAAGCTACATAATTCTATGACGAGAGGTCTGCTACAGTTTGTAGAAGCTACTCCTTCAGTTATTACCTTTGGTTTTGCCTTGTGAATAAGTTGTTTGTGAAATGGTTCTTGTTTTATCGGTTACAATTATGTACACTTGATAGTTTAGCTTGCTGTAGTCTGAGTGAATGACTGACTTGTTAGAGCTACAAGATTTCATTCTTACATCCTTGCAAATATTGTGCTAGGATTTATGGTATGTTAATTTGATTGGTGCCCAATCTTTTCATAACAAAGGTTAGGCAATGCCTGACATGCCACAAAAACTGCAGCTAGTACAATATGTGCCAAGTATATTTGGAATGCCGACACATTTTGCTAGCCGAAGAAGGAAAACAAATCTTCAGTTGCTAGAGGTCCTTCCATGTTGCTAATTTGCTATAGATGCGGGTGAACCATTTGGTCAGAATACATGAAGCTGTAGAATTCCCTTTCTTGTCGAAACATTGATGAAGGATAGGTCTAACTCCTGAACCTTTCAGCTGACTGGTCCTAATGATTAGTTGGGTCACTAATGTCAAAGTGATGCTGCACCTGATTATGGTATACAGGAGGTATTGGTGCCAATTCATCTTTTCAATTGAAATTTGAAAGGGACCCTTAGAACTTGACAAAAATATTTTATTTGATGTGCTTGACGCTTGGGAGGCTGTAGGCTGAAGTAAAATCAAACACCTACAGAGAACTCCCTTTCAGATATGTTATTGTAAACTGATTGACTGAGGCAGAAATGCCAAAATGTCTTAGCGTTGTTGAAAAGGAGTTTTATCCAAACTAGTATTACTATGATACTAGAGTAGAATTATTGAACTAACAGTCCTCACCAAATTGAAGTCTGTAGCAGTTGTTTCTGTTCCTTTGTTTTCCTTGATGTGGTTGGAACTTGGAAGGCAGATTTGCTTGAACATGAAGAGCTGAACAAAGACAGCCCTGTTTGTAACAAACTATAGTAATCAGATAATTCAGCTGTTTGGTTGTGCAGAAGGTATATTGACCATGCAGGGTAATTGAGCTGATTGCATGAACTTGTTTGGTAAAAACTATTGTGTATAAATCGTGCTCCAAACTCTTGAGCGGATGCTATTAGTGGGTGTTTTTGATTGGAGAATCTGAGCGGCGAGTAGTGCAGTACTATGTTGTGAAGAAACACTAGTGCTGGATGCTGCTGAGTTGCGAAAAAGTATGATATGGAAGGGAAGTATGGATGTGGTTGGGGCAGCTACTGTCCCATGATGGTTTGTGCTAATGAAGGATGGGGAGTTGATTGCGGGAGGGATGAGTGTGGACGCAGGCAGGCGTTCATAGTTAGTGCTGGATGGTGACAGGAAACGGAACATGAGGACTTGAGAGCTGAGCCTTATGTGTGGTCTGTCTGTGCCTAGTCGAACCCGACAGACGGTGACGCTTTGCCGACTAAAATGCTAAAGCACTCCCTTCCGATTGTACTTGTGCTTGTAGTAATTCTTTTTTTTTTTAACGACGGTACGAATTTCTATTGATAGAGCAAAAGAGTAGTAATTCTGTAGTGATGCAAATTCTGTTTAGCCGTTTCGATTAAAAAATAAGAAGAATTAAACTGATGAAGTGTCCATGATAGCGGACGCACTGGCCGCATCTTACCAAAAAAATTCCATGTCGTCGTTGTTTAACCGCGAGCAGTGGACATGCCAAATTCTGAGACGCAATGCAATGGCGTCATGCTATGCTTGCAGTTGCAGGCTGATTTGTGCTGCGCATTCGCGTCAACACTCCCATTTATTACGCCAACCAATTCCAAACACCAGCAATACTCTCCTCATTAACTTCTTCCGCGGGACGAGACACGAGAGAGAGAGAGAGAGAGAGAGAGCCAACCGCACACTACTTGAATCCAATCCAATCGAATCAAATTACTAGCCTCTCTTCCACGCCACGCACACGCACCCAATCCTCTATCGATCGAGACATGGCCTCCACCACCGCCGCCGCCGCCGGCAACGGCAGCGGCAGCATCCTCCCCACCCACACCATCGCCGCCACGGCGCCACCCTTCAGAACCCACAAGGACGCCGACCTGGAATCCAGGAGGCGACGGCGCCGGCGACGCTGCCTGTGCTGCTGCCTGCTCGTCACCCTGGTGGTACTACTCGTGCTGGCCATCACCCTCCTGGTCCTCTTCCTCACGGTGCTCCGCGTCCGCGACCCCACCACCCGCCTCGTCTCCACCCGCCTCATCGGCCTCTCCCCGCGCCTCTCCTTCCCGGCCATGTCGGTCCAGCTCAACGTCACGCTCCTCATCACCGTGGCGGTGCACAACCCCAACCCGGCCTCCTTCACCTACGCCACGGGGGGCCACACCGACCTCACCTACAGGGGCGCCCACGTCGGCGACGCCGAGATCGACCCGGGCCGAATCCCGAGCCGTGGGGACGCCAACGTCACCATGGCGCTCACCCTCCAGGCCGACCGCTTCGCCGGCGACCTCACGCAGCTCGTGACGGACGTGATGGGCGGGTCGGTGGCGCTGGAGGCGAGCACTCGGATCCCCGGGAGGGTGGCCATCCTGGGCGTGTTCAAGCGCCACGCGGTGGCGTACTCGGATTGCCATTTCGTGTTCGGCGTCACGGAGATGGCCGTGCGTAGCCAGCAGTGCAGCGACCGCACCAAGCTCTGATTGATCATGTGATTCCAACTTAATTTGCAAGTTTCCAAGCACGCAACGTAAGGTGGGCATGCCACATCGCGACGTGGGACAAGACGAGAAGCCATATTTTGTTGTTTTGTTTACACCACGCAACTGCTACTAGAAGTACATAGAGTATTACTATATTCTACACGGGTGGCACATTAGTTCGTTATTACAGATAGTATAAGATCAGGAATTCAGGATTCAGGACTTCCGATTTTCTTCAGTATTTCTTGATGGGTGTTGGGATTGATTCGATTCATGTATATAACACGGTGTGTCAGTTTTGACATATACGTACATATACAGTATTTCACTATTCTCATGTTTACTAGCTACTAATCCAAAAATTCCTAATCCAAAGCACCAAACTTCAGTTTAACTTTAACAGACCTTTCTCCACAGCATGCCCACAGCGGCAAACTGCCAGCACACACAAAACTAGGCCCGGCGCAAAAAAAAAAAAAGAAAGAAAGAAAGAAAAAAAGGACAGAAAACAGCATATGCTGCTGACTTCTTTTTTCACCAGCAAATACTGAGTTGCTAGGATTTAGGATCCTCACATGATCAAACGACAAACATACTAAACATTGTTACAGGTTTCAAAACATATAATGAAGCCACATGTATAAACCAAACGGCCATTTCCAGCAGTTCTGTTTAACCTCATCACTAACAGTCGCATCAAGCAAGCAGCACTTTACATTATCAATCATGATTTTCACTGCTCCACTGCATTCATCACATAAATGAAAATATTTAAGCACGGCACACCATCTCCCAGTTCTTGTGAAGGAAAAATGAACTACTATTGAATAGCATTCAGACGATCCACATCATGAACCTGCAACAGACTCACTAGTTCAACCAGACACAACTATCCATTTTAAGATTTACAAAAGGTACATGGTCACAGACCACAGCTCCTAATGTATATGACTAACCCACCTAAAAGGAAGACTGATTAAAGCTTACATGTATAACTTATTAAACTGCCTCCTACTCCTTTAGCATCACTACCTACACGTTTCAGTTAGCAAAGTTACCATATTGGCACAGGGCAACTGAAATTGGTAGCCAAAAACTGCCCCAAAATGCTGTTCCTGGGCAGATCAAAAGGGTGTCAAGATATCACTTATTCTCTTTAACGAATAAACACCTTGGACTGACTGAATCAAAGTCGAGCTTTCGACAAATGCTTGGGCTGAGCTGTACTGCTTTAAGAGGTCGCCTCAGTGGTGCATCTGGGCAGGTGTCTGCAATGCCTGTAAGTAGAGGCTCTGAAGAAGGGGTCTCACAGCTTCCAGGTGAATTAGAACCTATCAGATCCTTTCCAATCGTCTCTAGTGCTTGATTTGAGACAATCAGATCAATAAACATCTTGCAGATCCGTTCAAGAAACTGATCATCCTCCTCAGCATCATCGAATTCAAAACTTAACCTTTTAATAGGGTAATCACCTGAATCAAAACTTAGCTGCCTTCGTGGAGGAAGTTCTGGTGCCTTGATCATATTCTTCTTTGGTGCACAAGCTAACTCCTCTGGTCCCGGAGCAAAAGGATCAAAGATGCTTTCACGCGGTGTCTGACAGCCATACAAAGGATCTTCATCTGCAACATTCATTGAGCTAGATGATTCAATTGCTTCCTTGTCTGGTCTAATCACCTCAGCAACACCACTCTTGTTATTTTCATGATCATATACCATGCCAAGGGATCTTGTGTCCTTATTTTCAAAGGGAGATTGCACAGAAACTTCTTCATCCACACACTTTTCCAACTTTTTTACAACAGGGAAATCACAGTTTGAAACTAGCGAATTATCAGTAACATTCTTATCCACCCCTTGATCTATTTGGGAGTAATGTGGACTCAACCTCTCCTGTAACTTGCAAAATGAAAACCTACAATGAAATAAGGAATAGAAAAATTAAATACCGCAAACTAACCAGGACATAACAGAAAATGATCACCGAAACAAACAAGGGACACCCAAGAAGAGTCCAAAAGGTTTCTAGGAGAAAATAAGGCAAAAAGGGTCAATAAGAGAAACTAAAGCAAAATTAAGTGGTTATCGACAAAACACTAGCCCCAAATGTAACTGCAACTGCTATGAATGTAAAATGTGTTCTAAAAGACTATGCAAGGCGCCAAGGTAGTCGTCAGCCACTAATAAGCAGAACTCTTGTTAGAAGCCGAGTGAAATCATCTGATCTAATATAACCGAAGCCGTTTTTGTCGATAACCCTTTTTTTTGGCCACATTTCAAACTGTTCAACCATCACTCTGAGTCCAAGTATATATACAGCAATTATATATATTTCTTTACTTCTGTAAAAAGAAATCAATTAACCATCAACATCTATTTTATAAAGCACCGTCTAATTGTAAAATGGGAAAACTAAAAGGTAAAATGCTTTCTATGCATAGCTCCTTGGAAGACCTTCACCCACACTTTTTACCTACTATATATGTATCAAGGGTTTATATGCAGCTATGGCAGATACATAAAAGATTAAAAATATTCTCTATAGCCAGCGTTAAACTGAACACCATAGCGAAATACTCAAAGTTGCTATTAGTGGTACCAATCTAGAGTAATAGGCACCCAAATGCCAAATATGTGTGGTCTCTACACCGAGACCTATTGTAGCCCTATTGGGTGTCTTGGCTGAGACAAATCTTGCGCGCGCCGCCGCTGAACAAAACCATAAACCTTACCCGAGCGCTCGCTCGATGGTGGCGTGGCGCTGCTAAAAAGTTTGGATTTGATCCCCCACACCATGAACAAAAGGGACAAGACTACAACAGATATCTAATCAAGGAAAATAGGGTTACTGTTGGAGTGTATAAAGTGAATTGCCCATCTTTCCCTATCAGCTTAGGCTTTTAGGTGCAACTGGCTGGTGCATGCAACTTAATATGGTATCAAAGCCAGAGGTCTCGAGTTCGAATCCTGGCTGGCGCGCAATTAAATAAAATAATTGCAGCCCACTCCAATATTCCACGCTTGAGACTTGAGGGGGTCTCGCGTGAGGGGGAGTGTTGGAGTGTATAAAGTGAATTGCCCATCTTTCCCTATCAGCTTAGGCTTTTAGGTGCAACTGGCTGGTGCATGCAACTTAATAGTTACTTACCAACAAAAGAAGAAATCAATCCAATCCAATCCAAGCCCGGATGGATCTTCCAGTTCAACCGAATAGATGAGATTGAGAAGGGGAGCAAACCGGATGTGAGTTCCTTGTTGGCGCACCTGGAAATCAGAATCACATGGTAAAAGAAGCAGATTTAGGGCTTTAAGAGGTGAGGAAAGCCGAAAAATCACAGGAAAAAGAGATAAAGCTCGCTAGAACCCTAACATGTGAAAAACCATAAAAAAAAATCCATAGAAAGAAGAGGAGCTTTTTGGATCTGTGTGAGAGAAAGATTGAGGAGTAGAAATGGTTAAGAAAATGGGAAGAAAGAAAATACCTCGCAGCAGCTCTGGATAGGGGCGCGAGATTGGTTTGGGCGGCACCGACCGCGATTGGGATGAGGCCTCCTGCCGCCAAAACAATTCCCCCTATTAAAATAAAACAAAGTTTTCACAAAACACCCCATAAAATAAAACAAAGTTTTCACAAAACACCCCATAGAATGTATCATTTGCTAATTCTATTCCTTTGTACAACATCCAGCGAGCTCAGCTGCACCACTGAGGAATATATGTGAAAAATAAAGAATCAGTGGGTTGAAGAGTAAAATGCACCAAAGGAGGGAAAACTAATTTGGGCGGGCAACCTTGGCGCGCGTGTAGCAATATAGCAGATCCTTCCCGCGGAATAGGTGTGCCTATACTATACCCCCTCCGTCCAAAAAAAGACAAACTCTAGCAATGAATCTAGACACATGTGTGTCCAGATTCGTTGCTAGGATTGGATTCTTTTTGGGACGGAGTAGTACATATCTAGGGTTGGATATCGAGCCAGCTCGGCTCGGCTCGACTCGCTCTGGCTCGGTAGGTTAACGAGCCAGCTCGAGCTGGCTCGTTATGGCTAACGAGCTCAAATGGCAGCTCGGTAAGAAACTCGAGCCAGCTCGTTGATCTCGCGAGCTAATACAGCCATTTCATCGCTTCAAAGATAGCAGACAGACAAGAACGCATTCTGAAAACAACCGTTCAGCAATCAGATGAGGTAAATGGGTCATCTTATCTGGTTTAATCATATTATCATAAATTCCAAAAACAAAAAAAAAGAAGCTTAAAACATCACCTATATCACTATAAAATTAAAATCCTAAAGGTGGAGGTCTCAGTTCAAACAAGAAATCAAGCAACTAGCACTAAATTCTTCACAAACTCACAGATTCAAAGTATCAAGCAACAAGATAGTTCCATCCGTCCATGCATACATACATGGACGCGTGCACGAGCACGACCTCCTCTCCCTTCTCCACGGACCACGGGCATGGGGAGCGAGGTCGACGCCGGCGCCATAGGATGGAGGGAGCAGAGCGCGTTGCCGGCCGGCCGCTGCAACGCGAGACTCTATGGCGCCACGGGTTGGTGTGAGCGGCGCGAACAACAGCGCATCTACGCGACGGCATGGCGGGGCCACGGGTGGCGGCTCAATGCGGCGCTCTAGATGTGGATCGGGAAGAGAAGGGGATGCAGCCGACGGGAGAGTGGAGAAACCGATGACTGGTCATGTGTTTCTAATTGTCTTTGGGCTTGCCACGGGCGAGATGGACCATGGGGCTGCCACCAAGTTGGCCTCCTATCTGCTGAAGTTTGATTTTGCTCCCTATGCGCCCAGCTCGTTGAGCTCGTGAGCTGCTCGCTAAGATGTTAGCTCGGCTCATTAAGAAAATGTAACGAGCCGAGCGAGCTAACGAGTCACGAGCTTTTCGTCCACCCCTATACATATCATCATTTGGGTGAAAAATGAGTTCTTTTTTAGGAAAAAAAATAATGGTTGTGATCACTCTGAAATTTATAGGTGCAAATAATCATAAACTAAGTGGGTTTGATGTGTATACTACGTTGAGGGCTTGAGGCCAGTTTGCAGGTTATCAAAGACCATAATGATTAAGAGACAGTTAATTTTCTATTTTTCTTGTTTACTGGAATTTATCTATTGCAAGCAAAATACCCAAGTTTCTTGCAATACCTAAGTTTCACGACGGGTGAAGATCACAATTATAACTTTACATACCTTGTTCCGCCATTCATCTCTTCGTATGAAACGCGTCAATGAGGCCAAAGAATAAACATACGTTTGTTCTGTCATTTATCTCTTCATATGAAACACACAAGTGAGGTTAAAGAATAATCCTGTGAGATTTTGATACCTAATTCTACCAGTATAAAGAAGTTTATGTGAAATACATATAAACTCGAGGGCAGACATAAAAATAATTAAATGAATAACTTTTCGTAATATTAACAAAATGAAAGGGTTAAAAATGAAAGATTGATGATGAATCCGAGATATTTTATCATCTAATACACATAGATGGAATCCGTCCAGTGATGGTGGAGGCATTATCCAGCCTCTCTCATTGCAACTCGCGAGGGATGGTGGCGGTGCTCCCGTAGCCAACCAACCCCCCTCAGCACGATGGACGTCCTCCCTTAGCGCGGGGTAGCAGTGCTCACCTAGCCCTAGGCAGCAAGGGCAACGGTGCTCCTCTGTCCTTAGTAGACGACAATGGTGACGCCAGCAGCCTCCATAGGCGGTGAGGACGGCAGTGCTCCCCGTCCACCCTAATCGGCGATGGCAAGTGTATGAGGTGGCTTGCTAAGATACAAGTGTACTATACTTTCTTGTGTTTATTGAGTTGTTTGAATTTTTGGTATTTTATTATGAAGTTCTCGTCTTCTACTATGGTGAAAAGCTCGTATAACTGGATAGTGTTTGCAGCTTCATCTATTCTCGTTGCCGATTTTTTGTCATGTTCCTCAAATTTTGAAGGTTTTGGATCGGAAACCATGTGGACATGTTTGTTTTCCTCGAACTCTGAAGGTTTTGAGCCGGCCATGAACGAATTGGAAGCATTTGAGCCGGCCACGAACGGATTGGATGCAGTAGCGGACATATTGCGCTTGCCGTGGGAACATTGTGGACTCTTCGTGATCCGGACGTACGCGGGGAAGAAGGGAATCTGACAAAAATACATGCACGGGAACAAAAGCTAGACGGCGGGCAAAAAAAATTCCCGGAAGCTTTAAGTATTTTTTTTATGCAGGTATAAATATCCCTATCATGATTTTGATATATGTCATTTCCTTATTTCTATTGTCAACATGTTTTTATTAGAATACACTTAAGCCAAATTACATGACGAATAGATGGAACTGTATCTATCATAGGCCATGCCTAGTGCTTCACCTAGGCGCCTTTTGCCCGCTCAAAACTATTGGTAGTGTAACTAGTTCAATTTCCACCTTATCTTCATCCACCTTTGCCGGTCCTCCTATGAAGTCCCCGTGAGTCTTCACACGTATCTACAAGTCTTCCTCCACTCTCCTCAGCGTTCACCCATCTCCACCAGTCTTAGCCTATCTTGTTGGGTCTTTGTCTGTTTTCGTTGGTTTATGCCCATCTTTCTAGTGCAAAAACTTCCGAAAATGTATTTCACATAATTTCCTTAATAAATAGAGAATATTCGTGAGTAGTACGTAGTTATGGACTAGTTAAAACATAATAAGTTATTGCCTACAATATTATCACGAGTATACCATTCATTAGAAACTTCCAAATACCACGAGTGTTCCATTTGTCACAAACTTCCAAAATACACTCAAGCAAATATACTTCAAAACAAATAAAAATATGCACATATCACCATTAGCTAGTTCAAATTGGTGAAGAAAAGTGTGACAAACGCTTTTTATCAGTTTTGTTTAGATAAATTGACACTAAAAATCGCTATCAACTACTATCAAATGAGATCCAAGAAATATGGGCAACATAGCACGAAGCGTTCACGCCATCTATGTTCGAGGTCCCGATCTTTGCAGTATTTGCTTTCGGCTCTGATCGGTAGATTTGGAATTGGGATGACTAGATGAGATAGGGTTAATGGAAATTTGGAAAGATTTAATTTCACCTCCTTTTCAATAATTACATAATCTTTTTAATAAAATAAATAGTTAAACGTATGTCTAAAAGTCAACTGATAAAACAAATGGCCAAACGTAAAAAACCATGCGTAATACATAAATACTATTTTCGTGTGTAATACATAAACGAAGGGCAATGCACGTAGGTTTATCAGTCCATGAATGAAAATTATATTAAAATATATATATATATATATATAATGTCAGAAGTGGGATTTGAACCCACGCCCTCGTTAGAGGACCAGAACTTGAGTCTGGCGCCTTAGACCACTCGGCCATCCTGACCTCAGTTTTTTTTTCACCTGATGTTATGTAAACTATTAATTGACAGACGAGAAGTAAAAGTTGCATTCCACAAATAAGTAACACTTCAATCAGTGTACAGAACTGCAGACTGTAGAATATACTACTGTTTACACTCGAGTTGCAGCATTGTTGCAAACACATACCAAACAGATATAACAAAGGGAAAAGGGAAACATTTTATATAACCTTCAAGAATCTCAAGTCAGAGCTCTCTAAAAATTAATGGAACACCTTTCCCAGGTTCGATGGTCAGTCTGAACGCAGGGCAATGCACATAGTTTGGAGAAAGCTTGAATTCAAACTTGGACATCAGGAGTGACAGAACAACCTTGAGCTCAACCATGGCTAGATTCTGGCCGGCACATGTCCGGACCCCAACGCCGAAGGGCATGTACATATGAGGAGGTTTGCAGGTCCCTGCTATGCCGTTGGCGAACCTGTCCGGATCGAACTTGTCGGCACTAGGACCCCATACTGAAGGATCCCGGTGAGCCATCGCGATCGGGATCCAGATGTTAGTTCCTTTCGGTATGTCGATGCCGGCAAGTTTCATGTCATTCAGAGCTTCCCCGGGCGACGAAGGAGGCTGGTGGGTACAATCGGAGTGTCTCCTGGATCACCATTGTCAGCTGCACAAGTATCAACAGCACACCATTGTTAGCTGTAATCTAATGAACGGATTGTTTTCATCTCTTCTGTTACTGGAAGAGGATGAGAGGACAAAACATACCTTTTTCAACTTCCGTAGAATGTCAAAATCTAGTGGTCTCCCTTGACAAATGTCAAGGGATTCCACCCGGGCACGGGACTGCCATTCATGGTGTGAAGCTAGAAGCATCAAACACCAAGCAGCCGTGGTCGAAGTTGTCTCATGCCCTGCGAAGTAGATGTTTTTGCAGTTGTCGACGATGAAATCCTCGGGCGTGCATGAAGCAAAGGGACCATCCTTAGAACCTTGAATAATGGAGTGCAGGAGATCCTTGTTTACTGAGGTCGATGAATCATGTTCATATTTCTTTGATATGTTTAAAATGAGGGTACGGATGCTACTATCCAGATTCCAGATCCCTCTATTGCTCCTTGTTGGTAAATACCTAGTCGGCCCAGCACAAAAATAAAGGAAAATCCTTAAATGATTAACCAATTACAATAAGATGATAAAACATGAGAAGCCACTTATTTTCATATAATTATTCTCATGCAATGGCATGGATTGGAAAATACATGTTATGATACTCTTGGATCTACTGTAGTATCTCACGGATTCTAGATAAAATATCATTTTTTAGGCCTTATATCCATTTAGAATGATATGTAGGAATTGCAGGTAGATCAGACCAAAATGGGACATGTAAGTTAGCCCAGACAAAATAGAAGCTGTATATTTCTCCAAAAGGTTATTCTGATACTGCTGCAAACCAAAACAGTAACACATTATCTGAATTATAGTGATTTCAGAAGTTGAATCTGGGCAGCTACTTGGGTATTGAAATCATTCAAACTAAGCACAAGAGCTCAACAGAGGATTTTGAGCAGTTCAAAGACATCATTCTTTTGAGTTTTAAATTGTCTCAAATTGAAATATGTGCCACAGTAGTACATGTGTAGTTTCTGAAATATACCTACTTCCAGGAACACCAATGAGCATACTTTGTTTTGCCATTGCTTTCTGAAGTTGTCGTATTTTTATGAAAATCTCCTTGCCTTCACTAAAGCTGCTTCAAAAACAAGCCCTTGATATGACATCAGCTGAAAAGGTTCTCAAGAACTCATCAACCACAATCTCTGCACTGCCTCCTCTGTCCTCAACTTCATTTTTCCATGAGTTCAACATTGACATTGCAGCCTCCATCATCAAATTCACCATTCCCTGTGGATGTCATTTTAACAATAAATTGAGTTTTAGTATATGCTACATGTAGTGTACTAGAAAGTTGCTCCAAGAAAAATATTGTTTTTTGACAGAGAGATCCATGGCCCAATACAAGTGCCTGCAGATAATTACCTTAACCCTTTCCATGAATAGTTCAGGTGCAATCACTTTTCTCTGGTGTACCCATAGATCACCATTTGATGTCAGAATTCCCATACCAAGAAGAGCTCCACGCTCTTTTTGCAAGTAGCAAGGTTTTCCAAGATCCAAAGATTTGCAGTTGGCTAGCTCCTTCACCATGTTTGGATCAGTAACATTTAAAACTTGTATGCTTCCAGTGGAATACAGGTAGATGGAACCTAACACAACATCAATGTTTCAGGAACTTA